GACCATTAGTTAGTTATCTCATTCTAGACCATTAGTTAGTTATCTCATTCTAGACCATTAGTTAGTTATCTCATTCTGGACCATTAGTTAGTTATCTCATTCGGGACCATTAGTTAGTTATCTCATTCGGGACCATTAGGTAGTTATCTTATTTGGGAACATTAGGTACACCAATCATGTGATAAGGTCGAATATGAGGTAAAGCACCCGAGTTAATTAGTTCACACCCATAAACACACTGCCTGTGAGAATATAGGTGTAATATGATGAGATCTTGTTTGTTGAATCCACTAGCAGTATTTACACAACTTAATTAAACTAGTGCTAAACATGATCATATTCTTCGCTTAGTCACGTTCCTAGAAAAAATGGCGTCCGGCAATCAGGTATTTATGGCATTGGATATCTCTTTCTATGGGGTAATTACGTCAAAACAACCTCTTGAGTGAGTTAAATTCAGATTTATGCCATTTAGATTTTTCTCGTTGCTTTCCGTTTTCTATTCTAATTAATATACAAAACCGGGTGCATCCTTTGCCGTTTTTTTTCTAACGTAATATGTCATCCATGATCCAAAGAAATTGTTATGCATCTAATGTCCTGGGTCATGTGATTGGTTGGTATTAATCATGATGCTACTGGGCAAATAGCTGAACGTAAATTGCAAAAGAATTACGTTAGATCATGGCTGGCAAGTGTATTAACCAGCAGGTTACAGACGAAACACAACACCTAGTTTTGAATTTTATTCAGACTGTGTCTTTCCGGATTACACATTTAAAACATTAGATTTGATTCGCTGATCGATCCATCAATGTGATGAAGTGCTCGGTGGAATTAAAAATTGACATTTTAAGAGGTTTCAAGGTGTCCAAACAGTTTAGATTATTGATAATATAATTATATTGACACAATTTTCAGCCCAATGGATATTTGATGAGACTAGAGTGTTTCTGAGGGAGATAATTAGAGGAAATCATTAAGTTAATTAATGTATTTATATTTTATGTTTTTGTTAATTGGAAACCAAACACGAAATCAGTTGATGCTTGTCTCCCCTTAAATAGATATTCCCCAGGCGATTTTATCTTTGAACTAAACATTATCGTGGTCACGAACAGACGTTTTGGATTTATCGGGACATCAACCTTTACTTTGAATTACGTCCCTTACCGGAAGTAAGTTAAATAGGAAGTGATGATTGAAGTGAAAATGGGGATGTTAATGAAATAACCAGCTTAACCTTTTAAAATTTCCAGATTCGTTTCAGTAGGGTTGAAAATTTGCAAATGAACCATTTCGAACCAATTCACCAACTTTATCGTGATCACGAATAGACGTTTTAGATTTATCTGAAGATCATCCTTACCTTGATTGACGTCTCTTACCGGAAGTAAAGTATCAGCCATCTAAACAGAAAGTATTGATGGGGATGATTATGAAATAAACAGCTTCACCTTTAAAAACCTACAGATTCATATCAACAGGGTTCAACTCTTGAAAAATCCCGAACAGTTGTCATCAATATTGTCATAAAGAGCCATTTTATGGCTTAAGGGGTTGTGGTTAATGGCTATGATAAGCCCCGAAAAGCTTCTGGCCCTGTCATGATTTTAGATTTTCTCAACATACTCATTTTTTCAATCTAAACTATTAACTGAAATCGAAATTCGATTCCACATAATGTTACGTGCATGTCTTGGCAACACTAGGCTGAAAATCAGCATATCCATATCATTAGTTTATTCAATAGAATTGACTTAACCGGAAGTATTATAAAGCTTTATGGCAAGATTCACGAAGAAAAGCCATTTAAAATTGAAATGAAATGCTGGTAGAGAATAGAACATAAAATTAAGTTAGAGAGATTGATATTAATATTGAATATTGTTGAAAGAAATCCGAGATAATACAATCAAGTAATCAGGAATGGAATGAGTCTTGACATGAAGCTTTCTTCGATTTCATTTATACGCCCATGAAAAACATGTTCGTACACAAATGATTTGAGGTCAAGTCGACCTAGGTCACGCCTCTATAGAAGTTGAGGGTTAATTAATCTGTTTTAAAAGAACTGCAGCAAGATTATTGCTTTAGTGTATTTGTACCTTTTCATTATGATTCAAAGTAAGTGAAGCTTTATTCCCTAATCTTCTTCACCTTTGTGAACTAATTAAATAATAAAATAACAATCTTTGACACACGCCAACACTGTAGGGTCACGAAATGAAATTAAAGATGGGTTCCCTTATTTTAATCTTTGAAGATGATAATACTAATACTTATATGAATAGAACGTAGAGGAAAATAATGATATGTTTCAAAATACACGATAATTCATTAGAAACACCAATTCATCAAAAAGTTTGCTTGATTTTACACTAAAAAAATATGGATACCCACCCTATAAAAACTTTCTGATGTCAGATTTTCGTGGGTTGTTTGACATGGCCGTGGATGTATTGCCTAGAATACCACTCAATCTCATGCTAAATGGTCGCATGTGACAAACCACGATTTAAAGACGGATGATGGCAAGTGGAGCCCTCAAAAAATAAAAACACAAAACGAAACTTCTTGATCTCATTTTAAACAGATGCTGACTGAATTCATTTGTTTTTTTCTATACCAAGTCATAAGAAATAAAGGCGTTTAAAACAGAATGATTCTACCATTGAACCATAAAAGACCTATAGATCAAGCCTAGCTGGTATATGATTCAGAAAAAGTAGGATGTAATACCCCATTCATTTCATTTGATTTAGCTGGAAATGTAAAAGACCTGTAGATCTGGCCTAGCTGATAAATGATTTAGATTTGAATATCCAGTAAATATTAAGAATGAACAATGTTAGTTTGATGAATGTTGATAAAGAATTATTGATGATTGCTGGGGGTCAAACATGTTATGTTCATTACGGCAATGTTTTAAGTTTTTAAATAAGTCTGTATCAATCAACACGATCTCAAAAAGCGTTTATCACGTAATGGTAATGAGACAAATACACCGAGATCCACCTATAATGGTCCATAGAACCGGAAAGTTGGATGTTTGGTGCGCATCAAATAACAAACAACTTGCATCCTTTCTGTTCCCTTTTTAAGGCTGGAAACGACAGTTGTGTTTGTTTGTGTGTTCATGGGGTGTATATTATTTTTCAAAACATTGATTGCAATCAACCCAAATCACCTTTGTTAGTTATAAGCCTATATATGAGTCAAGTTAATGTTAATAACTATACAGAAGGGACATTTCTTGTTTCTTGTTAAAGTCTCGACATTTTGGAATAGAACCTTGGACAGTTCTTGAAATATAACGTACTGCTTTCTGCTCCCTTTCTCTTAAAAATTGTCGTTATCGCCTCAGTGAAGAAGATCGTCTATAGAGCTAATGGTTTGAAATCCAGCAATGGTAGTTGGTACAACTAAGCACTTAATGACATCTTTACGGTTGACCATCATTCGTCTTCCTTTTGTTGCATTATTTATTTTAAAGGGATGGTAAAGTGACAGATATGAATTATTAAGAATAATGTTCACCATGAGAGCTATTGAAGCATATTAGTATGAATACACTGGTTACCATAAACATGGCTTGTGTTTATATCACCATGCATATATCAGCTGTGTTGTTATGCCCTTGTAAGGCAATAGAGTATTATCTGGCAATATGATAAAATCTAGATGTTTCGGATTTTGCTTTTTCTTTGTAATTACAGAAAACATTTCATTGCATTCATTTGAAATATGCACGTTAATAATATGCATGCGATTTTCAAAATATACAAGAACCCAAGACGTCTTTTGACAAATTTTGGTGCTGTTTTCGTTGTTTTGAGGAACATTTGGTTTGGACAGTGGTACATATTTGTCAGCCCAGTTACTCTGAGGTTCTCACACAGAGTCCGAAAGTACCATCTGGAATATCTCCTGCAGCCGGAATCGAACATTAACCATCCTCGGCATACGAACTGAAACATCGTGCCCTGCGACTAAGAAAATGATAAAAATACCTATAAAAAAGAAAGAAAAGCAGAAACGGTTGTTTTCCATGTATATATCAACAATCCAATCCCTTTGTTATTTTCTTTTTCAATATTCTAATCGATTTAGCATGCTTCTTGTAGATATATAAGGAATTTGTAACTATAGTGACAGTATTGTTAAAGAATATAGAAAGATATTCTAATCTATTGTTAACGATTTTTATTTCCATGTGAATCTTTTATCTTCATTCTTATATTTTATAATCCGAGATACTCGGTCGGTTCCAAGGTCATTTAGGGTCATCGGATTTAAAGATGGGTGTCCTTGTTTTTTAGTGTCAAATTAAGCACACTTTTTGATTAATTGGTGTTTCTAATGAATTATCATGTATTCTTATACATATCATTATGTTCTTATTGCATATAATTAAGCGTTTTAACCAATCATAAATGTCCATGTAAGTACAGTCTGGCTAAACAAAAAAACTTTTTGACCTTCTTGATCGGTCACTCATTGGAATTCTGCTGGTAATTTTCTGACATGTGAGACAAACTGGTATTTTTCTAGGTCATTAGAACACCTCTACATTCTATTCATATAAGTATATCATAAATGAAAATAAGGGAACCCATCTTTAAAGGCCAAAAAAACTAAACGTTTTTTTAGAATATCCTTTTAATACTCATCATCTTGTAAACTATCTCCCCCTCTTTTCAATACATATATGGGACCTCAAAAAAAGCTTCGTATGGGACTGAATTTTTACCAATAAAATAACATTTTTTCAAGCCTGTTGATTGGTCGGTCTTAAAATCACGGGACAACTAAGTAGCAATAGTAGTTATAGTTTCAGAGATGAAGAGACAATGGTCTCTACCAATCTCGATATCTTGTCTCAATTTACTCTGGTGGAATTATATGATTATCTCGATTAGGTAAAAACAACGTTTACCAAAATATCCATCAGCAAAGAATTTATTCAACTAATTTTTCTTTCAGAAACAACCACAGATATGTCAGTTAGTACAGATAGCACAACGGGTAGCAGTACGGAGAGTAAACAGCCTCGACAAGAGGAAGTAACCACAAGTACTCCTTTAGTTATTACAGAAACTAGCACAGAGTATATCTCTACTACTACAGAAAAATCATACGCAGTAAGTTGAGGACGGTTGTAGAACGGTCGGTTAGAGATTTACAATTTTATTTCCTTGGTTACGTCAAACAAATTACGATGATCAAAGGCGTGTGATTATCTTGGGACCTTTAATGAGTCATTTTTCCTCTTTATTCCAATTGACAAAAAAATATTTTTTTTTTGATAATCTAGAACAGATCATTGCCATTAAGATACATCGTTCGTTTCTTTCAGTTTCTTACAATGTACCATGTCATTTCTTTTCCCTAGAAAACTAATATTTTCATTGTGCAACGATGAGGGCTTTGTTGTCAACTCTTAGACCTACCCATCTACACAATGTCAAGTTATAAAGGATACAGCCAATCAGAAAGGCTGTAAAACATTTGGCTGTGTGTGAAATCGGGGATTATGATCGGTATTCTGTAGCGTACAATCCAATCAAATGGCTACATTTACAAACTTCAATGATACATGGTATTGTCAAGGTATTATCACGGCTTTAATGATAGAAACACCTCTGTATGGAAATGCGTAAAAGATAGAAAGGAAATTGGGTTAAGAAGTGATTTGACGTTGATATCTTTCTGTTATAAGACGTTTCTTAATGGCAGGCGTTAATACGATCAGATTCATTATTTATTGATAGATTATTCTAAGTTTGATCGATGCTTCAGATAGAAAACAAATATTTCAATAATTAAATCACGCAAAATGACCATCATGGGTTTAAATTATCAAAGTGCATCATTTGGCTTAACTAGTTGAGAAAATGGGCTAAAGTCTTTGTAAATTTTATATTTTTCGAAAATTTGATCCAGCGTGTATACGACATTACGAATTTCGATCATTATTTGTTATTAATTGACGATTCCGTTCAAATTCGAGATTTTTCTATATGTACCTACTTCTTTTTAATGAAGGTGCTTACTCTGTGGTCCGCGTCCACTATTTAGTCAATATGTGATAATTAAATTGTTCACGTTCCGTTCTTTAGGCATTCAGACGAGAGTAAGCTTTTGTAACTTATTTTCCTTGCGTATTTTTGTTTTTTAAATGGTTTTTTCTTTTATTTCAGTCGGAAGAAGCGTTTTTGACAGACGATATGATCAATGGTTTAGCTTCTGGTTTCGGATTCTTTTTCGGCACCATCATATTGATTGTATTACTATGGTGTTTATGTTGTACAAATAACTGTATGAAAAAAGATGAACCACAAAAACTGATGCGTCCAAGAGTAGGACCTTCACCGCCTCCTAAAGCAGATTCCAGAAACCGTTCAAGATAAGACAACTCCTTTCAACAAACAGTATATGTGATTCAAAGCGTGTATAATATAACTGCTGAAATTATTTTGTACCTATAACAGTATAGTAGTCAATCTTCCACGCTGTGGTCAGTGATATTGAACTTCCGATGATTTGACGGTTTCTAATGCTGCTTCTTTTCCGTCCGTGGGTGAAACTATCGGATCGTGTAATATTTTATTCCGTTTGCTGGAAGTAACGTGTGCAGAATTTTTTTAGCTTGTTTCGGTTCGAAAAATATTGTGGTACTATGATGCTATGGGAACGTACGAACTTGAAAGCACAAATATTTCGTGCTCGTTTATGATATTTTGTGATGCACGAGAGCCTAAGAAGAAGGACTATTCTGAATCAAATTGTATCGCTGGATTATTACGAACGCACAAAATGTTTTGGTTGTATGATATTAAAGGGATTGTTAAGATGTTTTCTAGGCTTTTTCTGTGTATCGGGGCTATCTATGGCTTTTATTTACATCATTCCATTTTTTTCACCACATGTGTGTGGTTCTTGTAATTATAAATGATGCTTGATTGTAGTTGACGCCATTATCACAAAAAGTTTTGAGTCAATTTGCGATAGATACGCCGTAAAACGTTTAGTTTTAGTGGAATCTCGAGAACTAGAGACAAATTGGAATCGATGCTAGCAGTGTCTCGATCACACAGATGAAGTTTAGAAAACCTCTTTAAGAGACCTTGGCCGTTCCGTTGATACTACCAAGTGTTTGTAGGATAGATATATCAATTTGGATTGATATGTGATTTTTAATTTTGACGTGCAGAGTTTTTGTATATATGTTTTAGGAATTAGTTTTAATTTTTTTAACCAATTTGTGAAGGCCATAAAGTCAGGTTTGCTTTGTACATTCCATGATTTAATGGTGATTTGAAAGCACGATGGTATGCAAGCATGGTTACTATTTAAATGATAAAGTTGCGTTAGTGGAACATTCGATAACAGGGCGTATTTTTGTAGTATTCTACTCCTGAGTTTTATTGTACATCAAAAGTTAACATTTTACGTGTCGTCACCGGTTGACTCATGTATTACGCAACGTTTAATAGTTTAAATTATCATTATCGGGTGCAAAATTTCAAACGCAAGTCGACTCTTTTAAAGATGGGTTCCCTTATTTTCATTTGTGGAAATGAAAAGGCTAATACTTATATAAATAAAAAGTAAAGATGATCTAATGACTTGGAAAAATACCAGTTTGTCTCACATGTCCATAATTAATTCATAAGCTAAATTAGAAGAGAATTATCAGCAGAATTCCAATGAGTGACCGATCAAGAAAGGTCAAAAAGTATTTTTTTGTTTATCCAGACTGTACATACATGGACATTTATGCTTAGCTCAAACTCTTAATTATATGCAATAAGAATATTATGATATGATTAAGAATACCTGATAATTATTAGAAAAAAAACAAATAATTAAATAGTTTGCTTAATTTTACACTAAAAAATTAAGAAAAGGTTACAACGGTCAAATTCTTTAGTTTATCAGACCCTATAGATAATATAACGTTCTGAAGTGTATAGCAAATAAATTACACCAGTATATCCCTTTTTGTTTTCACCAAACTTGCATTGTATATACAAGATTTATATTTTATACAAATATTATTGTATATAGCATAATATTGATTGTGATATTGTTGGAACGGGAAATATTATTTAATTGGTATTTTTAACGCCAAGTGAGTGTGTTATGTTAGTCTATAATTTTGTTTGTTTTATTCCAAAGTTCCTCTTTTTAATATTTCTATTACAGAAGAAAATTGTAGCCTTTGTATATTAATCTCTCAGAAAAAGAATTGTAACATTTGTTTTTGAATTTGATAATCTTATCTTGTATTATATTTTACGAAATTTCCGACGTAGGAAATAAATGTATAATTGGTGTTGACTTTTAGAGGCTTGAGTATAAAATCCATACCTACCAACCGGAAGTACAATACTGCGAAAAATAGACACTACTTAAGTTATTGATTATCAAATATACTTCCAGTTATCCGGATAGCGCGATTTGTCGGTTCGGAATCTGTACCCACCCTTCTAAAATACCAACAAGAAGAATTCAATCAATCCATTTTTGTTATGATAAGCACTGTGGTACAGTTTTGTTTAAATTAAAGCATAACTTGTTATCTTGGTATTTTGTTTTAAGAGGAACTCTCATTATGTTCATGATTATGTTTTATGGTTTGAATTTAAAAATAAATTGAAGGTGGATATTTCAAGAGGTCAACTCAAATGTGTGTAAATATTATATTATACTCGCTGACAGAAACTGTACTTTTATAATTTCAAAAAACTTTCCACATAATCTTTATTTTGGATGGGCTTCTCTCAAATGCAGAGTACGGAAAGGTTTTATATTGAAATTATATTTGTTCCTAACAAGCCTGATTTCACTGTTAGTAGTTATTATTCATGTCTGAAGTGAAGAACATGTTTAGAATTTTCGAAATAATTCAATTACCATTTGATTGATCTCAAGCCATTGAATTGTATCCATTCTGTGGAAATATCGTGCAGGCATTTGTTGATGATTTTTTGATATTTTGAACGGCTGACTTTGGAATTGAGTATTTCTTAAGGCATATTAAACGACGCGACGCGTATCGATTGGCTAAGCGCGATGCGACGCGATATCTAAACTCTAGAATGTCGCTTAGCGAACGCTAAACGCATTATTTTTTATGTGATTGAATTTGTATAGTAATTTATTGATTTTGCAAACGTTTTGTTATGAGTTGCAAAAAATTGAGTGACTACATTAAAGACGCGAACGAAATCAACCTGCTGACATCCATCAATAGCACCGTCCAATATTTCAACATGTTTGTTATTATATTAATATTTGTGATTTGTTTTGGAATTGTAAATAGTTTATTAAACAGATTCATAGAAATTATCGTTGAACATTTATTTTAGTTTTGGGTAACAAAGTCTTGTCAACAAACGTTTTGAGTTCTCTAAAAATATTTTACTAGACCATTGATCAGTCTTACAGACCCTTTAAATCTACTTATTTTATCGTTTCATGTTAAAAACAACAGCCCAAGCAAAATATAAATAGTACATGAGAACACTATTCTTTGGAGCCCCTATTGCGATGTACCGATAGACTGGCGAGCAAGTATCTTGTCCTTCTTGTTCGACATGACTTAATCATTACTTTAAGGATATTCTCCCCATAAATTCAGTGAGCCGAATTTAAATCTGGAGATCCCATGGAACATACAGAAAATGACCTTTGGCTGATTTTGTTTCCTAGCAAGATCTCATTTCGGAACCCCAAACACCAGCATCAACAACTATAATTCAAAATAATTCAATTTTTATATGGAAGTTCAGAATCGGAACTTCTGGAAAATATTGTGTTATTCGTATTGAAAAAAGAAAATCTGGTTACAAGCGAGCTTATGTTATATCATTGTTGTCTGAAAATCCTGTGGCAGCAAAGAAATCCTGTTACTCCCCTTTAATTCCAGGAACAAAGTTGGTATACAAATTCTAAAGAATATGTTTATAACAAGACATTTGTCATTGGAAATTGTCAGTAACGGTATTATATAAGTATATTTTGAAGAAAAAAGCTGGAATAACAAAATGATGGAATGATAGTCATTAGTTGTTTTCGAATTATATGCACCTCCGGAGATGCGAAAATATCCATAAAACACGACATAGTTTGTCTGTCTCTGAGCCAGACGACAACTTTCAGAGTCTGGAAAATTACCGGTATGTATAATTTGAGATGTAATTTATATTTTCAGGAATAAAAACCTACAAGAGGGTATTTTCTATTATTTGGCTTGCAGTAATTAATTCTTCATCCGAGTCATTTGTTGTTATTTATATAATATCAAAATAATATATTAACAGTCAAAACCATGTTTGTTATTTATTTCCTCGTCAGAGGGTGATATCAGATATAATCCCATGGGACGATATCAGATATCACTGGGGTAATATATCCAATATTGTTGGACAACATTAAAGAGAATACTTCCACGAGGTGTGTGTGTTTTTTTTATTATGTGTATCAATATGATTATGAAGATGATACATATCGAATTTATTGATGATCCTATTATTACTTCTGAGATATAAACAATATTAATTTTTTTCGTGGTTTTCTATAATTCCACAAGAACTGTAGGCTCTATTGCACTATATTGCTTACAACATGAATGCGCTTAATCGACACAATGCATTTCGGACCAAAAATAATATTGACACAAAAAATCAAAACAATCCATAAGTAATTGTAGTCTGTAGAGTCCTACTATATTGTTTATATCTCAGAAATAGTTATAGGATTATCACCAAATTCGACATGTATCACCTTCATAATCATATTGATACACATAATATAAATATATAAACAAATCCATAAGGAATTGTTTACAGAAAAGTAGGACGTAAAACTACATTCATTTCATAAGGAATTGTAGTCTGTAGAAGAAAATACTGTACAGAGTTATCCTTCCTTGGGGCAGTTTTATTTTCATTAGAAACACTTGTGATAAGGGTATGCAGAAAATGTTACGAGAACTAATTTAATTTCCGTAATTACGATCCAGTGGTGAAGTTTACAATCCGAGTTCTGCGTTCTACAAAGTCTACGGTATAAATTATGTTCTAGAAAAACACACATTGAAAAAAGTAATTAATACAGGAGATATTATACATAAAATTACTTCGATTATATAAGATAAGTCAATTCTAATGATGGCCACGTGATTTTAAGAATTTATACAACCTGATTTGGATCCTATTTTGAACCAGATACAGCGCCATGGGAGTGGAGGTTGGTAAAGAAAGGAAAATATGGCCACTTCTTTACATATTGTTGTAAGCATTTTTTTTGCATTTATTTTGTGTATTAAATTGATCGTAGGGTGCCTTATGAACCTTCTATTAGAGTAACAAATGTAACTGTAATTAGGTAAGGTGGCTACACAATTTTTTTCATATGTTGTTATTAAAAGTATACCATCTCTAGAATTAGGCTGATCAAAAAATTGAAATTGTTATACTGGGCCAAAATGAGTCTTTGTTTATCACTGGTGCGTTCAACTGATGAATATATACACTAAATCTTCTTGACCAATTTTGAGACTTCAAATTATATGTCCATTGTAAGAGGTAGTATAGACTAATCCTTTAATAATAGTCTAGAAAGGAACTCTCCAGTGACTTTTAAAAAGCACATGATATTAGTTTTGACACTGTCTGTTGGTGATTAACCGTGTTGGAATGGGTTGAATATGAATAGAACCGTTTTAATTCGTCTGCTTTTAGTCACAAGGGACTTTATTTCTATTAAAAATACTTATTTATTCATTTGAAAAAAGATCACACATTCTGGAATTATCATCTAAAATTCTCTCTTAAAAATAATAAGAATTTTTACACCCCATTAATCCTGGTGTTGACATACTATGATTGTGATTATGATCAACAATATTTTAAACATCGCTGAATGCAATGGAAATGGAAACGAAATGAATGAAGTTTTATGTCTTACTTCTCTGCACCATGTGGGCTAATGAAGACGGACAATCCTATGCAGGGTGCAATGAAGGAAATTTTGCAAGGAGAGCAGCATTATCCTACTCTTTTTGGAGTTCCATCCATTGAGGGAAACATGTTATGTTGCGTTTGCCCCCCATTTTTTATCATTTAGCGAAAGAGTGGCCTGTGCCCCCTGCTTGCCCCCTCATCTGATGTTTCCTAGAGACGTCACTGATGCAATACTCTGCTAAAGTATTTTACGGAATTTATGGAACCACAGACTGAGATGGTACAAAAACATGGGTGTTGGAAGATTACAAGAAGTAAATTTTGAACTGGCTCAAGGTTATGGAATGCCACAGATGTAGAACTGTTGAAAGTCTGTAATTACGGACTGGTGGTGGCAGGAATTGACTTCTGAACTGTGTTTAGTTGCATATTTAACACTAAGATCAGAGCTCGTTGATCTAAAGAACAGAATCGAAAGAAAACAAAGTGATTTTAGTCGATGGATACTATGGTTGTTGCTTATGACAGACATTTTGAGTTGAACTTTATTACAAGCAAATTAACCATCTGTGATGCGGATGGCCAGTTAAAAAATCTCGACAATGTGCTAATGGTACAAACAGTAATTAATAACTTTCAGTTATTGAATACCAGATAGTGTACATGATTGAGTACTTTAGTTTACGAATTAGCAGCGAATTCATCCGTCAGCCGAAAAAATTCTTCCCAAAACATAAAGTTTTGTCTGATTTTTGCTCCACTGGAACATTGCAGTTCTTGAGTGTGGGGGGGGGGGGGGGGTGGCCCTTAATGCCCCTCCGTAAGAACTTTACCGTATGTCGCGTTAGCACTTAAATATTTAAACCCAAGTGAGTATCATTACTAAAAGTATTGTAATGCATTCCATTATGATATATATAATAGCCTGTCTAATGAGTGTTGAGGGACACAGATCACCATCATATATCACGTATTACCTTGTCAGGTGACAAGGGAAATCGGTTCTAGATAATTATTCCCAAGGACGGGTTGTAGCGCAATCGGTTAGAGGCAAGCTGCTTTAATTTTCAAAGAAAGGACGAAAGATACAACCAATTTATTTAAACTGGTTAACCCTTTCCCGGATTAAGTATACCCAGTTACAATTGGGTCGACTGGAATAATGAGGAAAGATGACTTATACAAGGTTACATCATTGGTAGTAATAGTTTCTGATGAAGATGAAGTTCTTAGAATCTGGACTTCTAGCATTAGTCAACTTCCTCACTATTCTAGATGACCCAGTTGTTAAAGGGAACAATGAATCCGGGCTGGCCAATGCTTAGACCAGGTGGTAGAACGGATCCTGTAAGTTGTTATCCTTAAACTAAAGTTTTTTTCTTTGTTCATTATCGCAAATTGATTCAGTATACTGAAAAACATATTTACAAGTTTATAATCACCCACTCATAGTTGGTATTCTAAAGTATTACCAGTTTAGCAAAAAATATTGGTGGTTATTTTCATTTCTTGATCCTGTTCAGCATGAGAATTAAAAAATGTTAAAATAACTCTCCATGATATTGACTTCACCGATAATTCCGTTCAGACCCGTAATGGATCCCCCCACCTTCTGAAAAAATTCTAACAACCGACCAATTCTGCAAATAACTGCAACTATGCACCATTGCTCTGGATATATTACTTGCCCCTCCGAACAATCAATTTGGCTATGGGTCTGATTCCGTTCTGCCGTAAGAAATATATCCGTGTAATAAGTAACCTCTATTTTCGCGCCATATGTTACTTCCGGTTGGTGCCGTTAGGATTTAAGCGCTTCAGCATCTTTTATCTCAAACCAGACAGATGCTCACTTCCCATTACGCAAGTCTGTCTCCTATCCGTACCCCCAGTTCCAAGAGGCAGTCGCCGCCACTAACGGTAAGTATAGCTATCACTGTGAATCTCATAATCTTGACTAATACTAACCTCGTGTGTATTATGCCTATATTGTTATCAATGACTAAAGTCAATCTACCTTGAGAATCGGCTCATACCATCTGTTACACAGAATACCCAACAGTCATAGCACGAGCCCTGGAGAGAGAGAAACCAAGCAAGAGGGTAACTAAAGACAGATGACAAATCGATTAAGCTATAGTTTAGTCTTAGTAGGATGTCATTTCATAGTAGACATTATAGGGATTTGTAAGGATAGCATAGGAATTGGAATCGTCAGTTTGAAACTCGACTATGTGAAGTAGCTATCTATGTGTATACTGACGCGTATTGACAGTATTGTATTAGTATGATACTAAATTTACCTGTATCTTATAGAAAGCTAATAATACGATGACTGACAGTAACATAAAGTGAAAGTATAAAGTTGATGTATTGAAGGAATAGCTAATGGGAATATCATAGCTGAACTGTCTTAAGTTATTAAGCTAACCTGTCATGCCAAGCTTTATATAGCCAGAGTGTTTCATTGTGTGCTATTGGGATACATCTTTTCATGTGATACATGCTACATGCTTGCGTGGAGCCTTTACTGTGTTTTGACTTAAAGCAATGTGCAATACGTGGGCTCAAATGCCCTGTTGATACTCCGAGAATAGCTTTAAGAAATTTCAGTTAGGACGAAAGTGTCTCTACACATGTGATGCTTTGATGAACAAGTACCTTACCACAGATCCCAAGATTCCATTTACATATGATAATTTTAACAACTTGATTTCATACAACAACAAAACAAAAATCTTTCCTATGATAATGGACTGTTTTTTTATCTGAAACTTTTTTTATACACCGAATGCAATCAATTCATTTCATAATCTTTAATTTTGCAAGTCGTGAGATGTACCAAGATAACTTCAACCGCATCAATAGCTCTCAGAACGTTACAAGCTTTGTTGAATTTGTTAAGTGTACAGTTTAGTTATACAAGTTGAACATAAGTTCGTTCTAAATGCCATTTACATTGTTTACAGTGCTCTGCTAGAACAGGTTCTAAAGTGCCTCTTAAAACTCCGGTCTTGTGCTATATCGTCGATATAAAGTCCAGATAGTGTTTAGTTATATAACGGTGGACGAATAGCTAGGCGAATATTTAATTTTGGTGGACATAGTCTTAATGAGAACCCTCTTTTTTTTTTATAGCACTTTGGCTTATGCTTCGAGAAGTTTTAGCAATGAAGATCTAAATTCACCTCAATGCAGAACTTGATACCGTTTTGAAAAGTAAACAAAGTTGAAGAAATAATAGGCATAATACTACAGAGGCAGTGAAAAAAACCCACCAATTTTATAGTGCTCAAGAGAATCTGTTGGCGAAATATCGTTGTTGAATTACATATTGAATTATGTATTAGATTTCTTATATACTTTATATGTACTTTGAACATATTTTATTGGAAAAACATGGTAACTAAACAATATAACTGACAATTACCTTAACGTTCTATTGATAGAAAACCAAACAATAGAATTGACTATTACAGTCGGCTGACACACATGTTGAATCGAGTTCGGCGTGTTTCATGCTGAGAGATACAGGATAGAACTGAGCTAAAAACTCTGGTTTTCTTTTGAAAGGAATAGTTTTTAGTTAAGAATCATTCATTAGGGTGATTGAAAAGCAAAAAGTTGTACAATAGCTTCATAGGTAACAACTATTCAACAATAGAAACTGGTGCAGGTTATGTGTATTAGAATCGTGATGCTTAAATTGACTGAACTAAATCAAAGAAGAAAATGATAATGTATTAACTTATTAGGAAACTATGATAATTCTTAGACGTCAGATGCGTTTTGTTTCAACTCCTATTCGTTGTTCTTGGTGGATATTTTTCTGTTATTTTTGTGTGACAACAGAAGCCAATCACAAGAGTTAATGGTTTTACTGCGAGATACAGAGTACCTGCCAGTTTTACTGAACGCATTCGAGTGTTCAGAGTTAAAAAGTGTGACACTGATGTTAAAGTGTACTGGTGATCCATAACGTGGTTCAGAAAACCGGAAGTGATGCATCTCGTCAAAAATATGAACAATTGATGCTAAAAGTGTGGATTTGGATTTTTTGAATTGAAATCACCTAAAAAGTAAAACGGATGCTACAGTGTATCAGTGATCCATAACGTGTTTGGGAGAACCGGAAGTGACACATCTCGTCAAAATTTTCAACAAGTGATGCTTAAAATGTGGATTTGGAAGCCACCCCAAAAGTGACGCGGAAGCTACATTGTATCAGTTATCCACAACGTGGTTTGGAACACCAGAAGTGATATATTTCTCCATAAACAAGTGATGCTTAAAATGTCTATTTGAAATTTTGTGAATTTAAATCATCGTAATACCAAATACGTTTCTGTGGGAAAACATATTACAGTCAATATGCAAGTGGTGTACAGTGGAGGGTCCACCACACCCTCGCCCTCCCCTCGCCTACAGAGAAAACAGATGCAGGGTTATGGTCGCCCAGTGTTACCCGGGTACCTCACTGGCCCCCCGCCCATCTCAACGCACCATAGATCTAAAGAAGAAGTGCATAAAAGTGAGGGTGATAAGAGTTTGAGAGACTCTATCCCCGCCATGTCCAAACCATTAGCAGTAATATGTCTAATTTGTAATATAATCCTACCGGGATTAGGTAAGTCAGTTTTTATCATTCAGTAACATTTCGAAATCGCTCTGACATCGGTGATAAAATGTAGGGTATTGAACAGTTTGGTACGCGTGCACTCAGTTTTTTTTCTATTTCTTTCTATTTGACTTTAACTCAGTTTGCAATTCCGTCTTATAGATGAGATGATCTCAATATCCATGATCGATGATCTTCCAAAATCGCGTTAGATGTATTCACCTGCTTCCCACATAAGAAAATTTTCCGGGCCGCCCAGATGGGCTTGTCAGATGAAATCCTCGCTACGCCAACTGCCTATTACTAAATCATCAGCGTATATATTAGAGGCTTTACTGTGTCCATCGAATGGTCGTCACACTGGACTGCGTTCTCAAAACCTTTCTGAACAGATTATAAACTATTGGCGTTGGTTTTGAACATTTCCCATTGTTCAAATAAATATCGAAAAAATCAGAAAAAATGAATGTACATTCAATATGTAACAGGTGGGTGTTGACTAACAAAATAATTAGTATAACTTCAGTCGTAATTACTAATAATGACTAATTAGGAGGCCTAATAATACCAATTAACTTATCATTCAATTATTATATAATACAAGCTAATTATAACAACATTATGTTCACCATTTTCCACAGAGTAACCCAAATTGAAAAGTGGTTATGAGGGTTGGGGGTTATGTAAGGAGAATCTGCTGATCTGCAGAGCAATCTTCATAGCCAATACTTTCGTTCCGCTGTAATAAAATCTAATAAGCCGTAACATACATGCAATGCGCCATATTTTACATTCGGTTAGCCGAATTGTGCGGTTAGTCTATTTGGATTTTATACCCACCTTCAGTTGGGTTTAAAAGGGGAAGTATGTGCATCAGGAATGCAAACATAACATCATCTTCACGATGTCAAGCTATTAAGATCTTCGTACTTATACCTTGACTGCAATGACCAATATTCTTGAATCACAGAATGCAACGATTTGATTGGACTGACGCCAGCGAATACATCCAACCATTGCCCGCGACAGAAAGAAAGTAAATAATTTCAAATTGCCATGATACAAGAAAAGTATCTATTGCAGTCAAGGTATAAGATATGACCTGATATGGTGAAGATGTCCTAGCCTAAAGCTAGACACTTTAATCAGTGTCTTCTCTTCCGGGAACTAGGCATAGAGCCTTTAAATGTATAATATGAAGATAAACTAATACATTAATACCAGTATTGTATAAGAAACAGACATAGATCGATCTCTATAGTGCTGTTGAAAAGTGTCAGAATATACACTTGTTTATATTGTTTACCTTGGATTTCATTAATTAATCATTTTTAATTAAGACTTAACCCAACCCTTCTTTATTAAATAATGATGTCTTGTAACACTTTTACACCTGAAATTAAGAAATAACTGAACGAATCAATAACTTGTTTCTATTTGTAATAAAATTGTTTATTTCCATGAAACTGTTTCTTCAATTCTTATTATTGATAATAATATATATTCTTTGGATTTGTCAAATTCCAATCGCTCTGGGCCGCCACAACACCATATTTAGTTTGAAGACCTACAAAATATAACAGTTCTATGACAGTAAAGGCGGGCAACCAGTAGTACTTTTACGCTCTTGTCGATTACATCCAGCGTTTGGCCAGATCTTCTCAGATATCAATATCCTTAAACAGTCCAACCAACAAACCCTGAACCGGCCCTTCTGATCTTCTTCAATGTCATTAAGAATCGTTTAAATAGGGAGTTAAAGTTTTTAATTGATGTCAGCTAATATACCAATACAAAATATTATTACATTAATTGTTTTAACAGAATGCAAGTGAATCTAAACTTTTGGTGATCTGAGTATCACATTTCAATGATCATAATGACAACCATGACCCACGGACAGTTGCTCTACTAATCGGCCAGTATAAAGATAGAGATGATGTAAATCTGCATTTTAATTGGAGCAATAGTCCAACGCATTCAAATTTTAAATTTAAATATCATTAGTTCTTTAAACGAGACGTTTCTTTAATTCGATTTGAAACTTTTCCAAATCGTTCTTCAGTATTCCTCTAACAGTACTTATTGTTTATTTCTACATAGATATATATAAATATAAATAATTGACTCAGTTAATTTATATTTGAAGGATCGCATTAATATTTCAGGGTAAAATCAATATATAATACACAAATCTATAAAATAAACTTATAACGCAAAGGGGAAATCTATAACGTAAAGAAGAAATCTATAACGTAAAGAAGAAATCTATAACGTAAAGAAGAAATCTATAACGTAAAGGGCAGTATACAACATTTCTATTCAAAAAAACGTACATAAATACATGTATGTGCTATATATTTCTGTGTATTTGTACAAGCTTAATTTGTTGTAATTTGTCCTTGTTTTTTTGTCTATAGTTTAACTAATTTCAACACCTTACCTTTCCGACCTACTTTAAAATAAGACTCCCCCTTTAAACATACCTCACAGTCAAAATCTATAATTTCAACCATCGTTCAGTCAAAATCTATAAATTTCAATAGAGCTACATAAAACATCTTGATGAAGAATAGATTGATTTGTCCCGGGGTCATATTGACTCGGAAATCTTTGATCTATTCTATTCAATCTCTATTGAATGAAAACATATATTTTTAGAAGTCTATTACAGCTCGAGTAATTTCTCATTTAGATATTGTTCTCTTCAGCGGAAAAGAAGCCACAGTGTTATAAAGCTTGTTGAACGAATATTGTAATCCAATTTTTCGGGGGTGCAATTCCCCTCCATAGCCACGGGTGTGGTAGTCAGAATTAATATACGTTAAGGATCACTTGATATCTTGACTTAGGAATCGAAAAAAAATATACTCACTCAGAAAAGTAGGAATAGCAAGGGGATTGGAAAATGTGTTGGTGTTGGTAGACAGAATGTCTGTGCGTTAAAGATCACTTGGAAGACATAGAGTACATCGGTGAAAGAAACATTTTCGCAGAGTAGATTAGAAAAGTGGGATTTAAAATTCCATTCAAGTCTTTTAAAAAGCGACAATCCTACAAAATACTATCACCTGAACCAATTATTTGCTCTTTGTGAAGGACATATAAAGATGTTATTTGTAACAGCAGTTTCTTTGGACCCTGAGGCATCACTTAAACTAAGTTCAACCCCCTCAAAATGACGCCCATTCCCTATTAAGAAATAACATTTCAGCTCTTTTTCAGAGACTCTTTATGCACCTGTTTCTATTTCTACCATGCAGAAACGTTGGTGCAACTAGATGCCCTCCTTATACACACGGGGGTTCTTGTGTTGATACTGCAATTTGTCGAACCTCTTATTAAAGAAGCAAGTTGATGGGGTGGGGCTGATGAAATTCGGACGATTTTGTCAATAGTTTTCCAAGATCTTCGAAGCTTGGTTAATTGATTACTCGAGTAAGATCGTAACATTGGGTTAACTCTTTAGTATTTTCGGTATCATCATGGTCAAATGATGGATATCTATTGAGGGACCCAAAACAAATTTCTATATAAGATATTTTTTTGTTGCGAAATCTTGTTATTATGATTCCGTTCAGAAACTAAACTTCACCAAAATTCATCGACGTGAAATGCAAAATGACCACCAAACCACATTGAAACTCCACAGTCCGCAATATGCCTCTACTTACTCTTTTCGAAACGCCTGATGGTACTTCTCCTTTGAGGGGTCCACTACTACACAACTTGTACTCTCGATTTTGCCATACTTTGGAGATTTTTATTAAGGGAATTCTCTTGCATACACGGATTTGGTATTAGTATTTATTTTTATCAAGGACCCCCGAATATTTTTACATTAATGTCATTCATGAGTCACACCTATTATCGACAGGAATAAAGATTAAAAATATCATTTTGTTTATAACATTTACTACCGACTCTATGTTCATAAGATAATTCGAGATGGTTGTTTACATTTAAACATTGAGAAGAAATTCTCGAGAGTCATATGTTTACAAGATTTACCTTTCAGTCTTCTCTTTATATTACATTTTCTCTTCATAATTACATTCTTTGTCTGGTAAGGTGGTTGTAGGTTAGCCATTAACGTTCATTGTCCTCGCTTATTGTTTCTTAATGCTCGTACTGAACGAGTGTGAAGTCGAAGGTGTTCATAATATTATTGGAAACTTAATATTGGTCAAAGTTGAAAGATATATAGTGACTTAATCTGTTCACAGTTCCATAAAGGAAGTTTCTGTACCTTTGGCCAATTTGCTTGTTAGAATGGTGAAATGATATAAGGTTTGATATTCAACTTGCATGTACCTCACTGGGCTGATAAAAACGGGCAACGCCATACAGTGTATACTGGGTTCACTTGGCTTCACCTTTAATCGACTGGTATTCCCCAAAGAGAAATGCATTTTCGCACTCTATTGCGAAATTGTTGTGGGAAGGTATAATTGAATTTAGGGCTGCTTTTTAACCGTACTGTGGGTCCTCAGGGAGAAAGTCGACTCATATATAGTTTGATTATAACCACATTGGGGTTGATGACGTACAAGTACCTAACGAATATAAAAGTTTGTCACTTCCTATGCAATTATAATTTATTTTGAATCATAACTCCAATCGATTTTAATACGGTTCACCTGTTACCTTTAGATGTAATAAGATTCTTATCAAACATGTCAGTAAAATAGTTTAAAATCGCAAGAGGAAATTGTTTTAATGATAAAAGGTAACATCTGGTTTGTATTAATTAGCCACCAGGTAAATTGTATGTTAACATTCATGAATAGGTGGGGGGTAGATTCGGGTGGGAATAGGTACGATGCCTAGGGTGTCGTCAGCCTGACAAAATAGGCCCTATCCAGTTCCTTAGACGTGAGTTACGGGTGTGATATCGTCAGGGAAATTATTTTAATGATAAAAGGTAACATCTGGTTTGTATTAATTATACATCAGGTAAATTGTATGTTAACATTTATTCCATTACCTTTCTATTACTTGATATACTCATCAAGTACAAGCTGATCTTGTAAAATAATCTATCTGAAGGTGAGAATAGACAAAGTATGATGACTGGTGCGGTGTTAGCCCGACAAATTTAACCCTTTCCAGTTCCTTATACGTGATATACGGATGTAATATTTTCACACTAAGGGCCAGACATATTTTGTCGCTTTTTATTGAAGTTCGTGCATTATTATGGCGAACGGTACGGTATATTCGATATACTAGAAAATAGAAGTCAATAGTTTCTGGGTCCGTTCTTCGTGTAGGTTAGCTGGTTGGTAGATGGCACGTCCAAGTTAACATCCGTTTCCTGCTAAAACTGATATCTCAGACTAGGTAGTTGTTGATAGATGACAAGTTAACTTCATCTTCCAGCTAACTGATATTACAGACTATGTTGTTCTTGGTAGATGACAAGTTAATGTCCTCTCTCAGCTAACTGATATCACGGATGTTGGTAAATGACAAGTTGACTGCCGCTTCCTGATAAAATTGATATCACAGACTAGGTAGTTGCTGGTAGATGACAAGTTGACTGCCGCTTCCAGCTAACTGATTTCACAGACTAGGTAGTTGTTGTTAGATGACAAGTTAACTTCCGCTTCCAGCTAACTGATATCACGGATGTTGGTAGATGACATGTTAACTTTCGCTTCCAGATAAAATTGATATCCCCGACTGGGTAGTGGTTGGTAGATGACAAGTTAACTTTCGCTTCCAGATAAAATTGATTTCCCCGACTAGGTAGTGGTTAGTAGATGACAAGTTAACGTCCTCTTCCAGCTAACTGACGACGCAGACTAGGTAGTTGTTGGTAGATGACAAGTTGACTTCCTCTTCCAGCTAACTGATATTACAGACTAGGTAGTTGTTGGTAGATGACAAGTTAACTTCCACTTTCTGCAAAAACTGATATCGCAAACTATCCTATATTTGATCTTTAAATGGCATTTAGTAAAGGTGTTGGATATAATGAAAAAATTCTTATGGATTACAATTACTAACTTTATTTGAGCGACGTTTCGACCAGTGTTCTC